GTAGCGTTTTTCGTTGTCGTCAACGTTGTGAGAAATTATAGACAACTCGCGTGTTTTTTTGATAAGACGTCCTGGGGCTCGTCCTGGGACAGGGATATGAGCAGCGAAGAGCTGCAGCAGTTCATTGCTGATGTAGTACTACTATCAAGTGGCAAGTGCCGATCGTTCATGCAATCGGCTGGGCTTCTTGGAGCGTAGAAGACGTTCTGGACTCTACCTTCTCAAAACGGCTGCACTTCTTGCCCGGTGCCGGTGATGCAAGCATCTTTGCGCATGAAATAGTGGAGCCCACTGACATGTGCCTAACGTCTGTGCTTTTGGTCATGGTGGCAGCATGAACGTTGTGCAGCGCGCACGCACCTGCACCGATTACTGTGAGTCTGGATCGCGTGCTTTTCACGTGTGTTATCACACCAATTACTTTTTACACACATTATTTAACAATTTGACGGGATTGATCACCGGATTGATACACACACTATATCCGTGTCAGGGCTACGTACAGTACGCGCCATAAGCTGGCAAGTCAAAGTGCAAACAACGAGCATGAAGCCGTGCCCATATAGCTCGCTGGCGATTGCCGACGACGCGGCAATCCTCGCAGCCGACGACAACTGTCCACTGACGTCACCTGTGTGCTTGCTCAACAAGCGGTGCTTCCTCCGCACCTACGACTACAGAGCGCTGGTCGAAATGCTGTCGGCCGACTACACCGAGTTGTCGGCACAAACTGTGGCCAACTACTCGTTCGCCGCCGTCGGCAACGTCACCAACTACGCCAACGCGACGCTGTACCTTCTGCGCCAATGTTGTGTCAGCGCTCATCGAATGTGCTAGCGGCTTTGACTGTGGCGGCGGATACGTCGACCTCACCAAGCTCGTCCTGCCAAACATGCTCAAGTACGCTGCAAATCGATGCACCTAGGAGAAGATTCATCGCCTCTTGTGTAGTAGCACGCGGGCGAGCCGTCCCTCGATGTAAACGCTGCGGTCTCGTTCGCAGTGGATCTAATTGCCCATCGGCTAGCGCCATGAACCGGTGCAAGCTGCGGTCACTCTCGCCGACGATTGTGTGGCCGTCGAACCTCGAGTCGCTGTACGTCAAGAATGCTTGCTGACGCCCGCTTACTGCCGCGCAGGTCGCTTACTGACGGCCAGCTGAGTGTGCTGCCCCCGAACCTCCCCCCGACCCTTCGCATGATGTGCGTCTCTTTCCAATCGGAAGGGGCAACCATCGTTGGCATGTAGACGACTCGGTGGCAACCGCATTGAAGACATCACGAAATTGCGAACGCTGCCATTGACCTATCTGTACGGTGCTTGCGATGTCGATATCCGCAAAGTTCCTCTTCTTTGTAGCGATTTGCGCGGCAACGCGCTCACATCACTCCAAGACATGTACTGGCCCGCCCTCACGTGCTTGTACTGCGAAGTTCCATAGTGGCTTTCATCGAAACAAGCGGCGCTGCGTAGGGAGCTCAGTGGCAACAGTGCCCTCCAGAGTATCAAAAACTTGAAGCTCACCAACGCGATCGACTACTGTGCGTCTCATTCAACGTGTGCGAGCTCATG